TCGTTTTTATTAGGTGCGAGCTGAGATATGGATGTGCAACCACGGAGGTTCATTTGTTCCTAACAACTGGGATTATATTTTTTATGCACACAGAGCCGAAATTTTCGAGTCTAAACCTAACAGCCGGGTAAGTTGAAAAGTTAACGACGGACCTACGGAGTTTGGTGCTTTTTCCGTTGGCCGTACGAACTTACCAGTGAAAGGATCGAAAGAATCCAGCGAGTTTAGAAACCAATTTAGGTCTCGGAACGGTAAGGTCCGAGAGAGAATCTCGGAAGGCTGTTTCGTCACTGCTTTCCAGTCGTTTCCACGACGAAGCACGTGCACGGTGTCGCGGCGCGTGCATCCTGAGAGACTGCGTGGTCGGAACGAGGAGGAGCGTTTAGTCCTGTCGTGGAAAAGGGTACCCGGGGACGAGAAACGACGCTGATGCACGGATAAGGAGACCGGCGGTTAAGAAAGGAGAAGAGCCGAGGAATGCGCAACAGAGGAAGCGGTTTGCAGAGTAGAAGGAAATTGTGACTTATAGCATCCTTCCAGGACATCGTAGCGCCGCGCAAGGAGAAACCTACTTCTGCGGCCACGGTACGCCGGAGTGTTCGTTACGCATTTCCACGGAAGACTTTTCCCTCGAAATGTAGCGCAACTGCTCACGCGTGATGATTTTACGCCCGACTCTTCGCGCGTAAATCCTTGCATAATTTTCGCATGAATTCTTCCCAGACCCGGCGGAGCAATTTCAATAACGAGAATATCAAACGGCGCATAGCGAGAGCCCCGTCGTGGTTCTTTTTCGATGGTTCTCGCGTTCCTGGAATACCGCGTCGGACTAATTAAGCGATGCAGCGTTCCGCGGTGCGTAAAACGCTTCATAGCTGGGATACATAATCTGTCGCGATAGCGGTCGGGTATCGTTACGACCTGTATTTACGAAGATACAGCAGATACATAGTCTCGATCGTCGAGACAATGTTCCAGTGAATGGAGAACCAAAATAGAACCATTGATTATTTATTTCGTAATTTTTGGCACGCTTTCTTTTCGGAATTTTTTCCGGGGTTATTACGGGTTAATCGAGGCTCTAGCGCGCGTACGCGAGGCGCATCTATTTGTCGCTCGAAACGCGCAAAAAGTCAACGAGCTGCAGCCAGCCCTGACCAACATAGATCCAAGGAGAAGATGTTCTTTATGAATCACGATAATAAAGCCTCGGAACAAGGAAGCACGTGATTTACGCAAATGTGGTACATAATTCCCCGTATCGTTATGTAACAATGTTTCGTTCGCGAAGACGTTGGTGTTGTTCCACCTTCCACTTTGTCGGAGGCGGCGTTTAACGTAAATCTAGCGTTAACAATTCTTTAAGGTTCTATAATTAAACTACAGGCCGACCTAAGTTTCCGTACGTCCAACTACGGAGCGTCCAAAGAATTTGTTTTGCTCGTTACATTCGGTTTCTATCGACCGATTTCCCATGGAGGAAGAGAACAATGTCGGTGTAGGTGTCGAGGAAACGTGATCGACGTTATTATGGCGTTCGGAAAAGTGAACGATATCATTGTATGGTTGGGTGAATGAACTTTTCGCGCGTAGAGTGTGAACGACAAGCTGTGGGTGCGAAAGGAGATCCAACGACTGTTTGAGATGCAGGATCGGTTTCGAACGAGTTGCGTTTAAGTGGTTCGAAGAATGCACGCGATGTTTTCGAGCGAAAAACTGTGTAGCGTGAGTGTCTCGTGTGTTGGCGATAAATTAAACCATCGCATTTCTAAATTAATTTCTTTTTAAATGTTTAATATGTTACTTTATGTAATTGCTGTTCTAGGTAGCATCTAAAAATAACTATTTCCAACTGTTATATAGCGATCTTGAATTAAGACAGCTACGAGAACAGAGAGAATAATCGTAACTGTCGTAGATATATCGGTTATAGCCTATATCGATTGCGGTTACGGCTCTTCTGTGTAATATCGGTTCTATAACTGTTATCTTTCGGTTTTGTTTCCGATTACGGTCCAGCGTATATGCATTCTCGTATCGATTTCAACACAGTATTTAAAAATGACCGCGTACTTATATTGGAAACGCTATACCTTAACGAGCCTGTAACGAGAACTGAAAAACCGATGCTTCATGTTCGTACTCCACGAGCTTTCTATATTGAAAGTTGAACAGAAACAAATAAAATAGATGAATCATAATAAGTTGGAGAGGATTAATACGACACACACGTAAGTGCTCGCGTTACGCAGCATTTAAGCTCACTTTGTCAAGTATTTAACAAGAATAGATAAATTTCTATAACAAAGAGAATTGTTCGCGATGATCGTAATTTTTGGTTGCACGGATCGAGGAATGGTTACAAACGAAACGGAGAGAAATTCATTTTGCCCACGGGTAGGGAATCATCGAGGAAAAAAACATGCTTTTGCTCGTTACCCGCGAGTAATCGCGTGATTACGGAGGGAATTAATTTTAAGAGAACGCGCCGCGAGAAACGTAGCACGCATTCGTATCTAATCTTCGTCGATGCTAATCTACGAAGAGATAACGCGCATAGGCATTGCAAAACGAGCGACCAACATGCACCATACATAATGTATTTAAAAACAAAAACCAGGAACGTCAGTATTATATTAAAGAGAAAACATTTCTCATTGTAATACGGAAAACGACTCTGCAGCCCGAAACTGGCCTTCGTTAACGTCTCAAAATACCATTCTAGCAATAAAAATTAATCATTGTAGATTGATATTCCGAAGATCGAAACGTTAATAATGCCTTGTTTAAAACTATTAAATTAACTTTCTCGTGACTGGTGTACTAGCGTCTCTATTAACCCTAATCCCACGTGACTTCGCCTATCGAGTCTGAGTAACCGTTTACATACTAATTACGCTTGATAATATAGTGTGTAAGTTAATATACCATGAAATATAATTAGACAGAATTAACGTTCATTCCATCGAACAATTAAACTTTTATCTGTTCGTTGCGATTATATTTCACTGTGTAACTGAAATATTTTTTATTCGCTAATAAACGAGATTAAGCAGCCCGTTTATCTCTCGCTCGTTATTACACATTTTTCTCGTAGATAAAATGAAATTTATCGATCGTCGGATTATCGTTGATATTTCGCGTTTTCACGGCAACTCCGCCGTTCGGCGTATTGTAATTGCGAATTCCTAAACAAGAACCGAGCCACGAGTACGTGCACGGAATAAAATATGTTGCGTTCGCGGTAACGCTTTTTCGTTACGAAACGAGGCTACCGATGATAGAAATACATACTTGAAATCGCTCATCTATCATTCTTTTGCTTTTCCTATTTCACGGAACGTTCGTTCAAGTGCAAGTTCTAATCTGAAGTTTAAATGCAAGGTCTCTAACTAGCCACGTAACGCCTCGAGCCCCGATCGATGTTATCGCTCATTTTTATTAGAAATTATTCATTGTTGAAATCGAACATCTTGCCAGCGACTAACACCTCAACAGATTTACACGATAAAACACGACTGAATGCACCGTCAAATTATTTAATACATTCGTAATTAAATGCAGTTATAATTAATTGAATGTATCTGTTACCGCAACATAACGATTGCAAACCGAATTTACGAAATAAAATTGGTTAAATCATTTCATATAAATATAATTAAATGTAACGATATAAAGTTTCGAGAAAATATAATCAGGATGTTGAACATAATTGGGACCAAACTGCAACGATTACCGTTCGCCGAAAAAGAGTTTTAATCAACGGCGATCCAAGAATTGCTTGTTTTGAAGTTCGGAAATAGTTTCGACAGCGTTATGTTCATTTTTATTTACAATAAAAGTTTCGTGCGCCCTCGATTCAGTTCGACACGCCTTCGAGCACGTTTTTTCGAAGAATCTCTTTCACGTTTCGCGACTGCTTACACAGAGCATAGTATAGTACGTTATTATGTTTACTTTGCGATAAGTACAATGGTTATTGTTTGGTACATACAGTAGGGATACTCGAATGTCGCTTGCTTATGGTTGTACGAAAAGATACTGCTCAAGACAAAGTTAAACGAGTCAGGCATCGTTCGAAAAATCTTGATTCGAAGTTGTGCCCTTTTCGGGGTTCCAGGCCCCCCACTTCCGGTGTGGAAGTTACCAATCATGCTCTATTAGAACACTGCTAACGTAGATATGTATACGAACACGAAATTATACCGACAGTCTTCTATAATAAAATCAATGTTGAAAATAAAATATGTGATTTCTGTACTCTGTATTGGGAATGAAATTTTTGCATCAAATTTTGTTTCAAATCTGTTGTATATCTAATTTCTAAGTATTTTATTAATCTTCGGGTTTTATTACTTTATTAATACCGTTGCGAGAATATTGTATTTTTGTATAGGAATATAAATCTTCGCACCTGTTTAAGGCCTCCGGAAAGGGGGTTGGGTTTATAATATGGTCACTAGGAACAAGCTATTTAGGAAAACATCTGCTGATAATATTTGTACCTCGGTAAATCTCAACACCTGAATTAAGCAAGGGACCATGACCACAGACGTTGCCTTTCTCTAAATTTCTGTCGGCCGCGTGCATATTTACCGTTCTACCGTCTTTCTTAAATGGCGATTAGTGTCATAAACACAGGGTACGACGGTTGGGGGTCAGATTTTCAAACCTTCGAGCCTCAAAACCCTCCACGCCGGGGTTTAACACCCCCGCACACGACTTTATATTTAAGTAAGATCAGACACTCTCAGACCCTCGAATAGACTCTTACAAGAACTGAGTTAACTCTTTTTAGATTTCAGTTTACAAAGACACTGGAGTACTGTCCAAGTTAAATACGAAATTTCTTTCTCCTTTTGAGTCTTTAGATTAAGTTCGCGCAATTTGGAGGAACCAAAATAATTTTTAATGTTTCCCTCCAAGTCTAGTCCCAGGTATGTTCAACATCCTCCGACAAATTTCGGTAAAAATAAGAGCAATTAAAAGACGGTTCCTACCTTAAAGACTTCCGAAAAGAACCCGGCCCCGATCTTCTCCATGTAGAAGTCATCCAGTCGATTCAACGAGGCGACCGCATGCCTCAACGCCTGGCAGGAAGCACCTGTCCTCCTTTTCGTGCCCGTATCCTGATAGGTATCGCTAGGACACACGTTCAGGTTGCAGATATTGCTTTCCATCTCGGTCGGTCGCCATGGATCACGGCACTTCTCTCGATCCCTGTAGCTACGCGGCGATGACTGTAGCTCCGTAGGAAGATCTTGCGGCAAACAGGAAGCGCAGCTCTGCTGCAACGCGTCGCTGTTGGTTCTCGTCCAATCCTTGGACGGGGTGGACGTGGTGAAGTCCGCTCTGCAGTTTCGCTCGCAGCTCGAGGGATCCGCGACGTCCTTGGACGTCGATTTCGTGCACGGGGACTCGCCGATCGATTGGATCGCGGAGATCACCGTCAGGTCGGCGACGGAGGAGTCCGTCTCGTCGCTCGACTCGGTCAGCGACCTCTTGGCGTGCGTAACGCACTCGGAAGACCTCGCGGAAGATTTCATCGACGTGGGAACGACGGTCTGCGCGGCGTTTCTTTGCTTCCCGGGCAAATGTTCGCGATCTTTGCCCCCGAGGAGGGTCTGCTTCTTCGCGATCTTCGAAGACTCGACGTTCAGGCTGCTCAGACTGGCGGAGCAAAGAACCCGTTGCGATTTCGCGAAGCTGGGACAATTGGGGTTGGAGGAGCATTTGTGGATGGCGGAGGAGTTCGTCGCGGGGTTCGGCTGGCCCGGCCTCTGCGCGTGACCCGCGTGGCTTCTGCCGTGATTCGCCGTCTCTTTGGCCGACGAGTACTTGGAACAGTTCTTGGTGCCGGTCGCCTCGGTCCTGCAGGGTCTGCTGACCTCGACGAACGCGACCGACGCCTGGGAATAATTGGACGCGGACCCGGACGGCTGAGTGCCGCTACAGAACTCGACGGCCCCTACTCCGTTGTTCGAGTCTTTCACCCTCCACGGCTTCGACTTGTCGTCGGCGAAAGGCGCCTCGGAAACTAGCGAGCTGCCGCTGCTCTCCTTCGACCTGCGTAGCTTCTTATCGTCGATCGTGGGACACTCGGTGGGCGTGCACGTTTCCTTGCTTCTCCTGACCTTCGATTTGTCTTCGCCGAGGGAAGACGTCTCGGACGCGACCGCGACCACGTTACAATTCTCCTTCGATCTGCGCGATTTCGACTTGTCCTCCGCGACCGTCGACGACTTGGCTTTCGACTTGTCCTCGATGATGGACGGCGCGTCGAGGATGATGGAGGAGTTACAGTTCTCCTTGGACCTCCACAGCTTCGGTTTTGCGTCCTCTATGCCCGGTGATGGCGCCTCGGAGACCACGGGGGCATAGTTCTCCTTGGGTCTCCAGGGTTTCGACTTCTCGTCGGCCAGCAGGACGGGCGTATCCTCCGTGGCGAAGCACGGCAGACACGTGGACCCGGTCGGCCTGGCGGCCTTGCTGGGCGAACCGCTGCAAGATGGCGGACCCGGTGTGTTCGACGGCGGCACCTTGCCGAACATTTTCCCCGTTATTGCGAGAAGATTGAGCAGCTTGTACAGGGACGGAAGATCGTCGCCTCCGCGTCCCGCATCACACACGGATTCGGTCAGTCTTGTCGCCGGACGTGACTTAAACGACGAACGATTCTCGATCGGGAAGACTTCCAACGCGTCGAGCTACGTCCTCGGAACGGTGGTAGCTCGGCATATCTCGGGATCACATTTACATCGACGGAGGTATCTACGCTAGGCGTTTGGCAGTGGAATCACGCTCCGGAATCACAGTCTACTAGGGCATGGCCCTAGCAGGGGACGCAGTGCGGCAAGCGGTCGACATCGATGAACGCGACGAGCACATGGAACATCCGCAACGGCGAAACTTGGCACATCTCTCTCCTCTTCGAGGGTTCTCGAAACACGGGAGAGAAGAGTTTGGCTTTCCTGGAAGAAATCTGCGTGAAACGCATCGCGTCAGTATCAACGTTTAAAGGGCCACGTTCGAGTTATCTACGCGATCCGGACCATTAAATTTCTACCAACGATACCGCGAACGCCATTATTTTCTTCGAGCTTGTTCATCTCGATAAACGCAGAACCGCGATGTACCCCATTAAACGATCGAATTAACCCCTAAGGCGCGACATCGATACACTGCATTGACCTAATCCATATCCATACTTAACCAACGGAACGCGCACCTAATATATGCCTCGATATACTGCATCGACCTTACCCGTATCTATTTCATACCTGACACAGGCCTAACCGATCGAACCTGTGTCGAACCCGATATCGTTATATCACATCGACTTAAGGGGGTTCCCTCTCGGGGGCCCTCCAAAGGGGCCCGATTCGCTTATCTTTTAAAGGCCCTCGACGACCGTTTAAAAAGCTTCCAGCATAGCGAACAAAATTCTTCTTTCTGTAATAAGTGGTATATTTGTTTTGGACTTGCTGAAAGAACTCGTAAGCAAGGCTTATCTGACGTTTATCCTGCTTTAAAAATAGCACTACCAATCGTTCGAACACTCCAATTACTGGATAATTTAGCAATACATAATTATCTCGAACGATTAATAGCTTCCTGTTAAACAGAAATAGTTCTTAATTTTCGAACGACGATATGGAAAAAACATTTAAAAGAAACGTATTCGTGTGCATATATTAATAACAAGTATATTTAAATTGCCTAAATTTCTTTCGCGTGTTTACCGAGAAATCGATGATACGGTGTCGTAAATTCTCCTAAAAAGCGACCTACCGGTAGGTCACGCGGCAGCCAACGTGATGAGCTAAATATGTAACTATTTAAATTTAATAAAACAAGGCAATATATCATTAGCAACTCATTTGCTATTAGAATATCATATCTTTTCTAATTTTTTTTCTTGCAAAAAAATTCGAGGGAACTCTCTTAAGGCATGAATTCGTATCGAATCCCGTGCAAACGCGTTGTATAACCTAGCCTGTGTCGAACACATGCCTAACCCAGCCTGACTTACGCCTCTATTTACCCATACCTACTTCACTTGAGTGCATCGAATCTAAACCTAAATCATGCGTGGTCCGTAACTAACCCCGAGCCAAGGACTTTCGATGCCAAGTTTCTAACCAGAAATTCTCGGTTTATTTCACAATTCCAGGCGTACAACTTTCGAACGATCGTAGCAACTTTGCCGGTGTTCCCGTGTTTGCAAATTAAGCACACCGGAACTGTTAACGACGCTCGAACGAACGCGAATTTTGGCGCTAGACGAGCAACGTGCATCGTATGATAATACGCCAAGTTCCTAGCACCGGGAATGCGGACGAATTTGTTAAATAACACGGATGTGGTGGTGTGTGCACGTTACCTGAACGCACGATGATACGTTACACGGTTGTACGCGGCGATTTGATTTACAAAGCAGCGCTACTTCTTCCACCGGTGCAGCGGATCATCGTTTTCACACACGAGAAATGCAACTTGTGATAAATTACACAGTGCAACTAGCATAATCGTGCGCATTTAATTGGGAACGTTACGCTGCAAGTGCGTTTCTAGAAAATATGGTTTATGTACAGTGTCACGATTCACGATCGTGTCCCAGTTTTGACATACAACCCCTGACGACCAAACGATCCGAAATCGCGAGCAAATTCCACGCAACGAAACACTTCACGCGAATTGTATTTTTTCGTCGCGTTGCTACGCGCCTGCAATACGCGCGACAGGTTCGAAAACAAACGATAAGCAAATACTTCTTTAGCACGTGATCGTCACGCAATTCTCGTATCTAGGAATATGCTCTACATTCGTGCAAATTACGGTGAGATAAATATAAATGTCCCCTACGTATTATTTTCAAGCCTTCGTAACGAGATTAACGTTATTCGAAAGTTCAAGACTATCAAGATTTATTTGTTTTGTCGAAGGCGCCGGTTACGAGCGACCACCGCGAACGCGTTAAAAGCAAGAAAAGTAATTTAATGCGAATACGCAAGTTCGTCCAACCGCCTGTCACTATTTCAAACGCGGTAAGAGGCAGCGATAAGTAGATTATATAAAACAGTACAGTTTCCCTGTACGCTTAACACCTGGCCACGCAAAAAGCCAGCAAGAAAACAACCGCCACGGAACGCTAGGTGCCTTCGTCGCTGTGGCATAGTTCACGGGGTTCTTCCGTTGGACCGAAGGGAAACACGAAAACTGCGATGGTAAGGTCGGTGCACCGCGTCTTGGATGTAGCGGAAAAACAAAATCGAAGCGACATACCTGCGCAAACGAAGACGATGTATTGTAACCCGTTGTTTTTCCACGTTCCGTGGATACGCGCTCGCGGGATATCCCCGGGGCGACGTGTCCTCGGCGAAGACACAAGAACACAGCCAATAACCGGCGAGAAAAACCCGGTTGACGTTGCTTGTCAGTGACAACTGTCGGGCACACGTTCGATCGCGAAAGCGCCGTGAAACTTACTGGGGGCCTCTTCGTTGGCACCGTGGCGTCAGGATGATTTTAGAAGACCTTGAACCACGTGAGAGAAATCTCGAGCTGCTCGCGAGAAACAACACGTCAAACACTGTCGACAGGCACGGTCGAGACGGGAGGCATGACCGAACTCGGCATCTCCGCGCACGCTGTCACTTTTGTTTACTGTCTGAGAGCGAAGCTACCGTCGATGGAATCGCGCGACCCCGACACGACGCGACGTTGATCGTCGTGATTCGATCGCATCGCGCGATCCTTGATCGTGTAACGATTCCTCGCGACCAGCACGATTTTATTCTTCTGTCTGCCACCTTTGCACCTTTGTCGCCGGAATCGAGTAAACAGTGGGGAAGACCACCGCGAATACGATTTGAATTTTCTACGGGTAGATTGTACGTCGCGGTTCCACTGCTATGTACTACCACCGTACACTGTGCACTGCTTAACACCACACCTCTTGTCACGTTTGATCGTCGCGCACCGGGTTCTCGTGAAAACGATACAAAACGCTGGAGCTTGTTCGCGAGAATGCGAAAGAGACCGATTCACCGACAACGCTGTACAGCGGCCATTACAGAAATGAACTGGTCCGACGCACGCCGTCTACCGGCGATACCCGACGTTCCCAGCTTACCCCCACCACTCGACGTTCTGTTAATGAATCGGATGCAGAAAAAGCACTCTTTCGAACGTGGAGATTGCCATATTCTATATCAGAATGCGGAATACCTGTATTTGATGCCGAAATTCTTTTTTTATTAGCTGACACGCTTGCAACGGATGCCCTTTATTTTCATTTACCCACCCGAATATCATCGAAATTATTAGCGACAACTAAAACTATTTCGGATGAAAGTTAACGTTCTGGAGGAACATTAAACTTCGCGTAAAGAACTTCTTTTACCGGAGCATAGGTGTTTCGAATGTTGGAAACGTAGCCTTCAAGTTTTAAATAGATTCTCCTACTTGTTTTACTTAACATTGTAACACTCAAAAAGACGAAAACAATGACCTGCATTAGATGAGGTCATTCAAGGTCAATTTACGAATATAGTGTGAATACGCGCACGTACCGAAGCGATAAGATTGCAGGTGATCTAAAAAGAATACCGTGAAACTTTAAATTTAGTAACTAAGAATTTTGTTTACTTTTTATAAGTCAAAAAATCTTCTTGCGTTACGATGAATGAAAAATATAACATTCCTTGCTTCGAGTGTGAATGGTATTTCATTTAATTCAATGTGAGAACAATGATATTATGAAAGTAACATCGTGAGAATAAGTGTAGAGAAACTGTATCACTTGTTCAATGAAAATCCACGAAACAGCGATTTCACAGCACGAAATAATTTATGAGAATTTCCATTCCGACCTTACTACCACGATCTCGTCTCTGGGCTGCTAAACAACTACTTTTTTGCCAGGCGGAATGAAAGTGTGAGAATTCTCATATGCATACAAGTTATACCTTTCACTGTCTTTCAACAAATTTCAGTTTCCCGTAAAAGTATTGAAATTTCTACGTGACGTTGAAGCAATGTCAACGATACAGTGGCTGATTTATCTTCCATTTCCTAGCGATCTTGTCAATTCAAAAATTATATGACGCCTAAGGCACCCACCCTTTTTATACCTGTCTCTTCACGGCCCTGTTCACATATCTTCATTGTTCAAATTGTTACATTTTTAATACACTTGTTCGCAACATAAATGGATTTTTTCTATTAATTAGCAATGCTTCGTTATGATTACAACTTAGGAAAAATATAGAAAAATTAGTGTTTCCATGAAATTAAATTAAAATCAGTCAATTTTTTGCATGCCCTGAATTCCCTATGCATGTTCTTACGTTTGCCACACTAGTTGTGTTGATTCCTAACCTAACATTTTTCACGGACACACTACTGTACACGTGATAATTTAAACTCTATTTTATTAGCTTTATAATACATTTGTATTCATTGTACACAAGTGTTACGAATTAGTACAGGAAACTTACAAAAATGGCGAAATTTTGTTTAAGTAAATACAACAATTACGTTATTTTAATTTAATCCATACGTATAGGTTATATTTATTCCAAATTGTTTCCATCATATGAGATTTTTGTATTTACGTGCATACTCTACATTATTTAGTATTCTAATTATTCCAGAAAAACAAAGTAAGCGGATGCCAGCCCGGAAGAGATATAAAATAGAGAAGAAAGTTCGTGAACACAATCGAAAATTGAGGAAAGAAGCCAAGAAACATCCTAAAAGTAAACATTATATCTTCGTTAATAAACAATTATCCGCACTTACGTTTACTCGGGACAATATAAATATTCCTTTAAATTTTATAGAGAAACCAAAGGTGATCGAAGTTCCAAATCAGTGTCCTTTTAAGGAAGATATATTAAAGGAAGTAGAAGCTATGAAGAAGCAACACGAAGAAGAAAAAGAAAAATTACGCGACGCTGCACGTCAAAAAAAAAAAGAGGATCTTGCCAAAGCTGGCCTACAAGGTTTAGTTTCAGCGGCAGAACACAAGCAAGCAGAACATAATGAGACTAGAACGGATACAGTACATGAAAAAATAAAAGATGTTTTGTCTAAGGAAGAAAATTCTCTAAAAGCATACTACAAAGAGTTCAAGAAAGTGTTGGATGCAGCTGATGTCATTCTAGAAGTTGTAGATGCTAGAGATCCTTTGGGAACCAGATGTAAACAGGTAAAATAAAATATATACTATAAATAATTACATTAAACAACTTGTGCATATTATAGGTTGAAGAAGCAGTGCGATCTGCAAAGGGAAATAAACGATTGGTTATTGTTCTAAATAAGGCTGATTTAATACCTAGGCAGAACTTAGACCAATGGTTGAAGTATTTGCGTATTAGTTTGCCAGCTGTTGCATTTAAATCATCTACTCAAATTCAGTCAAAAAAGTTAGGTAGAAGAAAATTAGGGAAAAAAACGGAGACTATGATACAGGGTAGCACTTGCTTTGGTGCAGAATTGCTCTTGTCACTGCTTGCGAATTATTGCCGTAATGCCGGCAATGTTAAAACTAGTATTAGAGTGGGAGTTGTTGGACTTCCAAACGTCGGAAAATCTAGTGTAATTAATTCTTTGAAACGTAGCAAAGCTTGTAACGTAGGAAATACTCCAGGTATGTAATAATATTTTTAAATCTGTGTATATATTAAGTTCCTTCTTTACATCGATTAATTCCGTGTCTATAGGAATAACGAAAGCTATGCAGGCAGTACAACTGGATTCAAAAATAAAGTTGCTGGACTCTCCAGGGATAGTTTTTGCTAATCATTCTCCAGGAGAGAAACCTGACGACTCGTCCTTCGCTTTAAAAAACGCGGTAAAAATACAGTCTTTAAGAGACCCGTATACGCCGGCAACCGCGATTTTGAAGAGAGTTTCCAAACCACAAATTATGGAATTGTACGACGTGCCAGAATTTTCTACTCCCGATGAATTCTTTGCTTTAAGAGCTACTAGAATGGGAAAGTTTAAAAAAGGTGGCATACCCGATACTGTAGCGGCAGCTCGCAGCATCCTCGAGGATTGGAATTCCGGAAAAATTAGGTATTTATGGTGGGTTACACTTCACTATCTTTAACATATTTAAATATATCCGTCGTTCTTATAGATACTACACGGTACCACCCGAAGAACCAACTTGTCACATATCCGCGGAAATTGTGAGCCAAATGAATAAAGAATTCGATATCGACAGTTTTGCTACAGAAGAAAAAATGATGCTAGATACATTCGAGGAACAAATCGCGAATAAGCAGACTGTTAATTCTCTGTTGATCGAGAGTACTGGTCCAGTTACATCTGCAATGGAATTAGAGATCCAGAAGGAAGCAGTAAGTAAAAATTAATACATATTTGAAAAATAATTTTCTTAATTCGGTAATCACGAGTAAATATAACAATTTACAGGAAATTAAAGTGCAGAAAAAGTTGAATAAAAAAATTGAAAATAAAAAGAAAAATATGGACGAGTCGAGAAAGAAAAAGGTGGACCCGCTTTTTGAAATCGAAGGCAATCAGAAACTAAACAAAATTAAGAAATTACAATTTAAAAAAGAAAAGAGAGCCCAAGCCAGAAGCGGTGTGTATTTACTTGGAAAGTTATTTCATCTTAAAAAGCGTGATTTCTATTACTGACGATTAATTAAATTTTATAGAAAAGCTGGCTGTTAATTTGTCAGGAAAACTTAGCGAGTTCAGTATCACGACCTCCGACGATTATGACTTCAAAACAGATTTTGTGGAGAAATAAAATGTTCGTAGAAATTTGCGAAATAATTGAAGTAATCTGTACCTCTATGAATTACGTTTGTACGTATAATGTAAATACGAATTAACGATGTAAATGAATAAAGACAACTGTTTTTGTATAAACTATTCTTCTTCTTAATGTAACAATTTAATACCAAATTAACTCGTGTAAATGGACCAGCAATGTTTCAAACATTAAAGTACTAATTCGTAAATAATTAACAGAATTAAATTCGATCTAAACTTACTATCAAATTGCAAGGAAAGTTCAGTTGGAGTAAAATACTTCGTGTACAGAAGTGTGTATCGAAAGCTTTAGTACGTCTCGTAACGAGGAACAACTACTTACTAGGTTAAAATTCGAACTTACTATAGGAAAAAAAAGAGTACTCTGAGCGCCATCTATGGCAGAACGCCCAGAGTCGAAAGATACTACGTTGTCTTCAACGCTAGATGGTAACTTAAAATTATTATTTTATTATAATAAATTGAAATTTCTTTCTATTCTGAGATGGTTGTAAAAATGATTGTAATTGACCCCTGCAGCGAAAAATAATTTTTCTAGAACGATTTGAAATTTTTTTTTCTCGTCGAAATGTTTCACACCTATTCGAATTTTTTTCTCGAAACTGAGTAGGATTTTGGGGATATGTCTATTCACCAAAAATGATTGAAATTGACCCCCGCAGCTGAAAATAATTTTTTTAGAACGACTTGAAATTTTTTTTTCGCTGAAAAATTTAGGCACAACAATATTAATGGTTTATGCGATAAAATGGATCTTTTTCAACCTCACCAAATATATTCAAGCGACTCTATGCAATATTTAACAACTGGCGTGGGAAAATATTTAGAAAAACAATGCTTGGGAATAATAAATTGTTTCTCTAATACCAACACTTCTATATTTAAGGAATCATTGCTAATAGCGTTTCTATGTATAGTTCCAAGTGTATATTCATCATAAAGAAATAAATTGTTATTGCGTGGACCTTGAAACATATTTCCGAGTGAAAAGAATTAGAAATTTTTCTGAATAGTCATTCGTGATAATGGAAACGCCAATTTGAAAAGAATAATTTTCTTATCAAGAAGGCAATTGCATATGCACGAAGTTATAAAATCATAGCAACGTTGGTGGCGGAACTTATCGAGTCTGATAGTGCTGACATGAAACGCGTTGCGCAATTTATCGGTCATTCCGCTAAAAGACTTCAACAAAGTGACAGTAACGAGGCGTGAGGTAGTTCCTCTGTACCATCTCGGTGATCTTGCAGCGAATTTTAGTCAGTTAAATTATTTGGTCAGGTTTCTGTAGATCTTTCGTCGGGCAAACAAAATGAGCAAAAAATCGCCAATCAAGTTTCCTGTAAAACCCCCTGGCCAAGCAAAGGTGTGGAACGTGATCGAGTATGTGAAAAAGAATAGTAAGGAACCACCGGTGAAGATTTTCATTCAAGAAATACCCGAGGACAGGTATGAAGAAATCCTCGATCACATGGGCACCTACTTCCTTGCCGACGAGCCCATTTGCAAAAGCATGAGTAAGTTTACGTTCATTGGAAATGAAAATTAGAACTATTCGGAATAACAGTCGTTCTGTTATTCTTTCGTAACGCATCAATATTAATTCGACTATGTAAATATTCATATGCTATTTTTAAATCGAAACTGAAGGTGGTATTGCTGTCTAGACTCATTTTTTCGGCCTTTTTTGTGATTTTTTTTTAATGATAGGTAGGCTGTTTTGTACCGAGTTGTATACAGTATTGTTTTCATAAAAAAATATTAAAAATTGTGGGAGTTATAACTTCTTGTTTAAAAAAAATGCATTTAAATTGGCTTCTATGGTATTTCAAGATCTAGCAGACCGATTGACTTTGGGGAGATTATTCAGTAGACACACCTCTATCGCTGAAACTAGAGATTTAAAAAAATATTGAGTCTTACTATTTTGTTTAATATGCTAAAGACAAAGGAAAGTCATTTATTGAGATTATTTATTGAGATTTTTACTTCTCTCTTCCTAATGAAGATACTTTAACCTCCTCTGATTCAAATTACCTGATCGGTAGGAATCGTTGGAGCACCTTAAACAAGACGTTATAACTCCTACAATTTTTAATATTTATTGATTACCCCTTAGGGGGTATTGTTGTCTAGGCTGTCACTTTTTCGACCTTTTTTATGATTTTTTTTTTATATGGTAGGCAGGCTGTTGTGCATTGATATTTTGCAGATATATTTATTCATCTTATAAGCATGTACAGTATTTTTTTCATCAATAAAGATTGATTGTTTGCTAGCTTTCAATGTGATAAATTTCAAACTAAATACTTCAACTTATAAAGCTTGTTAAAATTGTTTATTTTATCGTACGAGTTGGATAACGCTTGGCTATTAGTTGTAAAAATATCACATCTTTGATTACGGTGTTATCTGTTAAGTTTTTATGTTAACATAAACTGAGCAATAAATTACCATAGAAACCATACGGATACCTAGTTTTACCCAATTGACATGTATCGAGCAAATTACGTAACTCGTTATTATTACTATAATATAAACCGATGAAATTTCAGCTGTTCGACGTATATTATGTTGAAGCATGCTGTTTACAAGAATACAACGTTTGCAACGGTCATGTTCTCTTATTACACTGGCATTTGTAAACGTGACACGGCAAAAAAAAGTCCGCGTAGTCGTGGTATTTATATTTTAACCACATGTTTTCGTATGCTTCGCAGTAATTAGTTACGCGAGGCTACAATTAGGAACAGAACGATATATGGCGAGCGATCAGTTTCGCCGAAAAATAAGACGATAAAATAGAACAATCGGTAAAACGAGCAATTCATCCTGCAAGTTTTTGGACTCGGACTATAATCCTTATTTTGTTAATGCATTATTTCTCGATGATATTTTGTCGTGCTAGTTTATAACTGTTCTCATTTATGTTCCGTTTCGTCACGTTTTATCTTCGTAATTCCTGTTGTTTATGTTACAAGATTGCGTAGCGCCGATAGTGATCTTTACTAACGCTCTTTAACAGATAACACCGTAATCAAAGATGTGATATTTTTACAACTAATAGCCAAGCGTTATCCAACTCGTACGATAAAATAAACAATTTTAACAAGCTTTATAAGTTGAAGTATTTAGTTTGAAATTTATCACATTGAAAGCTAGCAAACAGTCAATCTGTATATCGATAGTGTTAGTAATGCATTTGATTCCATCGGATATTTCAGATGGGGTAGACGACTCGGAGTACGTAGCAAATTTTCGAAGTCTTTGGAAGGATATATTGCATCAAGGATTGTCCGTAGGGGCGTTTGCGGAGGACCCTAATGGCGGCAAACCAATCGTCGCTGGTTGCAACGTGCTGGGATTATCTTTCGAAGGAGAACACGAGGAGTTTGAACATTTCAAGGTGATTCGTTTTCCTTTCTTCCTAATTCTTGGTCGATGAAATATGGACACGGATCGGAATAAAAAGGTCCTTGCAATACGATTTACAGACGGAAAAGGGGAAACGCATAACGCGCATTTTAAATGAACTGTGCAAAGAAGCCGGCGTGTACAAGAAATATGGAGTAGACAGATACCTGTCCGCCATTGGCCTGTCCGTGGACCCGTCGTATCGAGGAGCTGCTCTGGGCGCCCATATTCTTAATGCCAGGTACGCGAGCCTGTAATTAAACAGTCGTCAGTTAATTATAGCCATTTCGGTATTCGAAACGTTCGAAATTCCAATCTTGCTTTCGTTATCGTCGACCCTTGGTTTCTGTCGCAGGGAGAAGATAGGGAAAGAGTACAACATCCCGGTAACAGCCACGATGTTTACGTCGCCGATTTCACAAAAGCTGTCCGAGCGTTGCGGTTTCGAGGTGCTCCTCGTGAGAAATTACGAAGATGTCCTGGACGAGGACGGTACACCAATGTTTCCAGGCATCCAGGCGAAACTTGTTACAGTGTCGGCCAAGAGGCTTTTTTAACTTGGAAGATTTGATTGTACATCGCGTTCCACGAGACTACGAGACTCGTTTCATTATGAAATCGGTAAACTTCGAGTCTCCGTTTCCGTAAATTTCTTTTTGTTGTTGTTTTGTCTTTCGTGCTTCAGCAATTACATTGAGTTAGAAAGTATTTTGTTTGGAAGTTACAAGCTTTTGTAGAATAAGTACGAGATGCAACTGCATCATGAGAAATTGGAACTCGGCTTGAACGTGGATGTTGCAAGCGGTTCCTTTGTGAGCTCGGATATCAGCTAATAATAATTATGACGTAGAAACGCACGTACAACAATTTATTGCGTGTTTCTTAATCCTAACTGACAGCATAATTGAATAGCACAGCAAATGGTATTGCGATCGTTCAATGCGCAACGAAGTCCCTAAGGCTAGGCGCGCATTGAGCAGGTTGAATGCTGCTTCGATCATCGTTTCATTTCTGTTGCTGTTCCGTTCAATTATCGTTACAGAATAATCCATTGGAATAATCGAACGTTTCTTAATCTTTTCGCTTCAATGTTAATTTTTAGTTTTCTCAGACACTGTTAAAGTTCATTTCCAGGTTAATTAAAAATTTACTAAACTACCATTATTCTGTTCTACGTGCAGAAGAGTATTTCTTTCAAAGGATCCATAGTGACGGGTTGTCTTCGAGTTTAATTTCCCGTTTACACGAACGAGGAAATGAAAAATTACGCTCGTTTCTCGTCACGCTAGTTAATAACAAGTAACAAACGCTAGAGCAAAGTTTTCCACCGACGCAATTTGCGACGGTTTGTCCCGTAGTCGGTTAATTTGTCAGTTTTGTTCCCCTTCCGCGCGCGAAAACGACTTGTCGCCGGTATAGTTTCAAGCGATTCGCGCCCCTGTGAACGCTATGACTGCCCTATCTCCTTTCTCGGGGGTATGCTGATGTTCTAAGGAAGACGATGCTTCCGAAGGGAATCGTTTCTCGCTGACGTTTGCTGCTATTAGCACATTACAGGGTCCTTTCAGGGATCGAGGCAGGTCTGAAACACTTATTCAGAAACTCCCCACACCCCTTTACAGACTTCCCAATATATTATCCCTTTCAGGCTTGGAATTTAGACGCGGATTTAGCCAACAATGGAAGCCACGAGTTTCGAAACAGCACAATTCTCCGTTAAATATTACGATCCTTCTTCTGAGAAACGTTTATAGCTTTCTACTGTTTTCTAAATCGCCAGAGAAACGTACAGTCAGTTTCGATAAGCAAAAGTAACGATAATAAAAAGTGTCCTTTGAACGATGCGTCCAGCAACGACGACGTGCCGCGAATTATCAATTGTCCGTTGTAGGCTGTTCGCCTAACTGTTTAGTCATCGATGCGCGCCGAAATGCGGGCTATCTCGCTTCCGTTTGTTTCTGATAAGCAAAGACATTCGAATGCATTCGAGACTTGCGAGACTCGGTCGGCGACGTACGCGTTTCGACTGGCTAGCGATCGGATGCGGGCGCGTAATTAATTCGGTGCAGGTTTATAACTGTTAGTATTTGATGTTTAAATAATTACAGTCCATCGCAAATAGCGATACATCTACGTATTTTATATTGGAATTGAAATTAAACGACCATCTCTTCCATGCTCCCATGCTCTCTGTAAAAGTTATATTTATGAACTTTTCTGGTTTGCATTAATGGCTACTACAGTAGTCCATCTATTACACATATAAATACACTGTAATTCTTTTTTGAACGATAATAATACCATCAATATATAAATGTATAGAATATATGGGCACGAAGATTATACATAAAATGTATAATTTTAAAGCGACTTTTGTATGGTAACAATTTTTGTTACAACGTATAATTTTACAAGCTGTTCAAGGTGAACGCGTTAAGTAAGCCACCCTGTATATCGATCGACAGCCACGGTCGTTTTTCTTGGTCGTCCTGACCGTTTCTTTGATACACGACTCCCGGTGACAGCAAAACTTTTTACGGTATAATCCACCGAGGCTTTTGAAATTCCTGTTTTTCATGAAATTTCTTATACGGAATATCCCGTTTCGCGCGGAGCAACGATTTCAGAATGCTTTTCTATGCTCCATTCTTCGCTGAACACGTTGCCTCCACAATTTTGACCAAAAATAAATTGTTGCGTTCCAACCAAAATACTCGGAGAGTCTAAACAACGATTTATTTACTGAACAAACTGTCGATCGATACGGAGCAAAGATATACTTATTATTATCGTTTCAAAAGTTAATTCTGCCCTGCTTGTAGCCATCGCGATCTCACAAGTATTAAATCAGGACTGGTCCCGAATGAAAGACAGAAGAGACATTGACTTTCATGTAACAGGTTTGCACCAGAGTAACTTTAGTGAAATGGAACAATGAAGTACGAGTAGCACATGGTGGATTTCAGTCGTCCTCGATGGAAAATATTTTTTTCAAATTTTGTCCTACGCAAACATTAAAAAAAAAAAATAACAATCGATCAAAAACGAAGATATACGCATTGTATTAACTCTAAGGTTGAGTCACAATCATTTCACCAACAATGTTATCATCGGTGCGATTTTAGCCGCATCGAATATCGTCGATGATGTTTATTTATCGTCTGAAATCGCCGATAATCATTTCACCCACACTAGCTGTCATTGAACAAAGTATATGCGTCATAGGTTGTCGCCTACGATGTACCATTATGTACAGGGTGTTGCTAAATCACCTGTCACAGGTATTATAGGTAAATTCTACACCCTTGATTTGGTAGAAAATACATTACATTAGATCCTACTGCACCGATAATTCCAGGTAAAATACTGTTCTTAATCAAAATAATTGCAAAGGGTCGAACGTCCCGTGGGACCAAATTTAAGGTATAAAAACATTTAATATCACGGTAATCGAATTCTACGTATTCGATTGTATTTTTCTTAAAGCATCTGTTACGATGGATGAGAGCTAGAGGGGCATAGAAGATCGAAAGGGGAGGGAATCGCGTACCGAAATAAAAAGGTAAAAACATTGATCCGATACACCCCCGCGGAGGTAAAGTTCGCGAATGCCGGGACTAATGTTCCGGTCACGTTTCAACCAGGATCTTCTTCGCACATGCGTACAAAGTCACCAACTCCTGTGCACGCACGTTATTGGTCGCGGAAGTGTAAGTAAGAAAGCGGAGTCGCCGGGAGTTTGTTCGCAAACTCCGCAGTCGCGTTCGGCGCGTCGTACGAGCAAGTACGTTCTCGTTCGTTCTGATCCCGTTTTCCATCTTCCCCCTGAACCTTTTCCCACGCAATCCTTCCTGTTTCGTTGTCCCCGTTGTATTTCATCGACTCCCGCGACAACACCGTGACTCGAAGGGACGATCAAACATGTACCGATCTTAAAAAAAAATCGGTCCAAGGATTCTCGTCGAAGGTGAAAAAGCCAACGTGGCGCTTTTCTCTTGTTCTCCACGATCGTTCTCGCTATAATTGTCGGCCAGAATTCATTCCTAGTGCGACAAAAATTTCTTTTATGTTCTTTAGCCTTTCTCGGTTGACTCTGTAATCGTCGTGATTAATAGTTCTCCTTTCATTCTTCTTGAAAAGAGATTTGGCAAGGTTGAACCCACAGACGAGCAAAAGCATTTTTGAATGAATATTCTATTCGGGTGAATGTCGCAAATAAATTGGTGCACGTTGGTCTCTAATGATTATTTATCGTTTGGAAACGCGTAATTGCAAATTTAATTCCGATAAAGTTTGCTTTTTTGCTGTGGGTCTTGTATTAGAAACAATTCGTTCTTGTGAAAATCGTTCGATCGTTTCGAACACGAATTTATTCTCGTGGGTGGTAAATATAATATGCAGTTCGGGTTAATTCGATATAGTCCTCTCGAAATAGATCGAGCCGACGAAAAGGTAAAAGACTGTAACCTGTTGCGTGACGAGGAGAGATCGTCGACGCTCGTCAGTGTTTCTCGAAAGAAATATATTTTGTTAGGCTCGATTTCTCGAAATTGGATGTTCGACCGCCTGCAATCTATCCTCTAGACATTCTGCCGAAGAAGATTCACTATAGTTTACTCTAGACCGGATCAAAGAAGTTCGTAGAACGATTGATTTTAGACCAAAGTCCGTCCAATTGTTCCATTCATTCGATTGATCCCACCTCTCGGAAAATACTCGAAACGACAGGAATCTGTGAAAAATTGCAGTGAAAATTGTGCAGTATGTATGGACGGATATCTTAGATAAGTTTAATACAGGGTAAGCAATCTCCAGGTACCAACTTCCAGTTTAACATACGTTCGTAATTTGTGCAAAAAGTAAAAAAACCGAAGTTATATTTCTTTGCTAAAAAGTAATTAAATACACACTGTACAATTTTATATCTGACGTGGGTGTTGCGTTCCAATAACATATACTGTTTAATTAATTCTTACATTCGTTAGGTTTCTCGGGGTTGACGTTTAATATTACGCGTTCAATACACGCGGAAGTAATTAATCCATCATACGGCAGTATTCGCGAACGAAGGAACAAAAGGATCATTCGTCGACGAAAAATTTATTAGGTATCAATTGCTCGCGAAAGTAAATTTGCCAGGAATTCGCTGGAACGCACTGGACACATCGATTCGCAAAAAACGAAATAGAACATTGTGTGACAGGACGAATATTATCTCTGCGTCCTATCTCTGAATGAAACTTGCAAATAGGACGCGAAAAAATCGGCTTAAAAATAGGAAAGGGAACAATGCTTCCACGCTCGTTTGATTCGCCTTTCGAGCTTCTTCCAATGAATATGTCGAATCCATTCTTTTTTTCCACTGCTCTGATTGCATTTGCCCATTGTTGGACAACAATACTGCTGCATTTGTAATACGATTTGTGATTACAAATCTTCAATTACTTCGTATTTAGTGAGTCTACGCGATTTAAGTTTGATTCTCTTCAGTGAACGTGGAATTCGTAATAACGACAATTCCTTGATCGGGAGGGTTATAGCAATGTATTCAAGAAAACTATTCCTTGTAAAGAGAAATACGATTCTATACCAGGGCATACAAAATGGAATAAAAACGAAATTCATTGAAATATTATTTTGATGAGTATTTCGATTGTCGATTATTGAATAGAATCCGATAATGACAACGTTCGAATTGAAAAGATTAATATTTCAAACGCGTGTTTGCTTTTATTTTCACAAGTAATGAAAAGGGGACGATACTAAGTACGAGGATAAATTAATTTAAATGTTATCTACAGGAATGAATTTCCTCGGCCCAAATATTTTATTCCATGATCGCTTTTTGCGTTCCAAAAACGAAATTCCTCGTTGAGCAGGGAATTATGTTTGAATTATAAACATGAAAAGAAGAAGATCTTGATGTTATTACAGCGTTCATGGAATTTTTAGCAGTCTTATTTTCACGGAAGATTTATGAACGTTTCTACATTACTTTTAAATGCGACGGCTCGCGATTTTATTCCTTCCATTTTCCACGATACTACATTTTCAACCTCTCGTAGGAACATTTTGTCGGCCATCTTGTGTTTACGAAAGCTGCTACGATAATGAAAAAGGACAGAAAAAATCATATTCGTATTTGATACGCCAGAAACGGCTCGGTTTACCGTGAAATTCACCTTTTCATGAATAAATCTACGCGACGTTCGATACGAACGCTAGTCTCTCAGCCGCGGAAATAACAGTTTTCTTAAGCACGGAAGATGAAGGCCGTCGAACGTGGTCGAGGATCGTTGTTTGGATTTGTTCTATAGACGACGAATGTGCGTACATACGTGAGTATAAAGCTTGTACTCTACTTCCGTCATATCTCACCGTAGTGTCTTCGTTTTCTCTGTCCCCGGTATCTACTCCTCGAATCTTGCGGAAAGGTCGGTACGAGAAATATATGGCCGCTATAACGAAACTCTCCCACGTAGCGAGGAAACGTTACTCCTTCTGAAACAGGTTCTTCTCTTCCGCAAATCCTGATTTTTACGAGTCCCATTTGCTACCGGTCACGTCGCGGCCTTTTATGCGCGTCAACATCGTTATATTCTTTCTCTCGGTTAGGTTTCGTTCGAAAACATTGCACAGGATCCCAGCTACCTCCAATTATTAACGTCTCGGGTGAAAACTTTGATTGCATTAATTGCTAGTCCCGTCCGTTCGGGAACAAAATCGATCCTTCGTGCAACGCCACGCCAAACCCATTATAGCGAGCGTTTGCCTACAGGTGGGCAACATTTTAGGGGAAATTCTGCACGCCAAAATAAGATATCATGAATAACGACATCGTGAAAGACTTTATCGAATTTCGAGCGGAGTAGTATAGCACTACAACTTTGTTATGTTGCGTTAGTCGAAAAAAAGTAACGTCCAGTGATTAGAATCACCCTGTACGGTTAGCTAAATTACTTGAATCGATTTGATTCCGCGAGTAGAAAGTTTTATCGTTCAATGATGGGTGATATAGCTCCCCGAGATTCAAAATGAACGTTTTGCTGCGATAATACATCTTAGTGCGTAAACAGCTGCATTTCAGTCATAGAGGATTTGCGTTTTAATACGAGCGTCTCGCGTTTCTCGAAAGCTCTAGCGATATTAACGTTCAAAGTGTTCAGTGACAATCCACGTTTCAAACTAGCCTTTGGGTCCACTTTAGGAGACGTTAATTTTGTAGACTATATAAATGGAACGCGTATGATTAATTACGCACGGAATCGTCCAAACCCACAGTGACTATAACAATAAAATAAAGAATGGCTGTTTCCTGAAAAAGCTAAAATTACTTCAATGAAAATTTCGACTATTTCTATCTTTTTCCATCGAAAACAAATACCAACCCTTCGTTCAACAATACTGAATCTCCGTGTACAAAATCCTGCGGTATTTCCATTCAATAGTTTGAATAGGATTTCAGCAAGATTCTGTGTTTCGTTGTTTGCACTTCAGCTGTCGTCGAATCGAATCATCAATACGTCCCTTTGGATGTTCAACTTTACGGACTACTGCTATCGCAGCTTTTCCTTTGAAAGTTCCGACCACTATTCTGGGCCTACATTTTTCGTTTTAGAGTTAGGCGTGGAGTGTGGGTTGTAACACTTCTTAAAATATAGATATAATATATGGAACTAGCTAACAAGATCCTGACAAGATATACACAGATATTACAAGATAACGCGACGTTGGATGAATTACAAGCACGATCGATTTTAGATTTTCATTTTATAAAGACACGAAGTCCAATAAACACATCTGTCTTTTTGACGTGAAATATGTTCCTGGTTATTCAAATTTTCCGGAATTCGAGGAACTATTTTAAAACTAATACGTTGGAGCGATAATAATAAACGTTACATAACTTATACTCGTATTAGCTCGAGCAATTCATGGCCAAACATTTGTTTTCGACTAAAATTATCATTGAATAGACTATTTCTTCGTTGTCGACTTTCAATTCTTTCAAAATACGCTCAAAGGAACATTAATTTGCCAATAAATATAGTTAACATTTAAATACAATCATCGATATTAGCATTAATCTATATTAATTTAACCTCCCGTTCCCAGCGGCAAACCATCTATTGATAAACGCAATAATTGGAAATAAATATTTTATCATATTATTCGATACATTTAGGCGATAAATTTCATACGGTAAGATAAACAATTAATACGCGCAATAAACACGTAAATCGTATTATCTATAAAAATAGAGAAAAATAATAGATCAGCCAAGAAAGTTGTTGCCATCGCGGAAACGCAAATTTCGAAAGCTGGAGCATTTCCAGTCGGTGTAACAAACTTATAAATTGCAAGCACCGTTGTTAGCTCCGTTACTTCCGTAGCCAATCGTCTCTAGTGAAGTATTCTTCTCAGGGAATCGAGGTGGAAAATCCTTGGTCCCCGATCAAAGGACCATCGACCGATTCGAATAGTACGAAAAGTTCCCTCGAATTTCGCCCTTTGCCCGTTTGAACCTTCCGGTCCGTCGTAAAATCGTTAATATCTCGTAGATCAGGACTACTGGGAGGATGTGCAAAGATCGATCGCGTGAACTGTAACCAGGGGGTCGCGATAAATCGACCGAGTAATCGAGCAGCTTCCGGGCGAGGAGAACATGAAGTCGTCCGACGCTCGAAGCGACGAGTATTTTCGCGACGATGCTCGACGACGCGTGAGAACTTGAATCCGCGGGACTGCTAAAAACCGCTTTGGACGACATGTCCGTGGAAGGTGACGCGGAACGGGGAACAACCGAAAGGAATCAAACGAAGCTGGACGAACCGAGTCGAGTGAATCAGACGGAGGATCGCTTCGACAGCCTTCCGGAATACGTCAACGTCACTCTGTCCGACGTGAACGCGACGGCCGAGATCGACTCCTTCTACTTCTACGAGGTGAGTTTCAGAAAACACCCTAGAAATACAGAGGGACAGCGGTACCAATCATTAAAAATTCATGTACCGTTCGTTTCGCTGGTTTGCGTAATAAATTAAAAACTACGAAGTGTAAAAAAAAATTTCTGATGTTGAATTTTCATAAGAAAACTGGTGCAAATGTTTACGAAATTTCGCTGAGCATGTTTACTTCAGGCGTTTGCAAACTTCTGTAATTAACTATATTTACATTTGGCGAACGAAGGGCTCTCGCGGTTCGGCTCATAGTTAATTTATACTCGATTCTCATGATTACTTAATCTCGCGTACGCTCTCCACCCTTTTAATTAGCATTTCTCACAAACCGCACGAATCGTGTCGATGATTTTATTTTGTGGTGTACTCTATCGCGGGTATTAAGAGATTAACAACATAGGAAAGCCTGAATAGATTCTACGGAGTTCTTTTCGCGGGAAAGCTTCTCGAGAAAAGCGGAGAAGGCGTTGGACACTCGCTGAGTGATAATTCTTAGCGATAAAACTACGAGAAAGCCCGGTTGCCGCTTCGTTTTCTACGTCACTACCGACTTCTCGTATAAATCTCTCGCGCCTGATATTTCGGCGGGAAGTTCGCGAAGGTTTAAAACGAGTGGGTCGTTAATGGCGCCCGATCATAAATCGTGCAACGTTCCCTGACAGAACGGACGGATCCTTTAGAATTTCCCCGGTCGCGAGAAGAAGGTAGACACCTCCGGAAATTATTTCGTTCAACGGTTTGGCGTTTCGACGTAACGTTCAACGAACGCGGAAGTCGAAGCGTCGCATACGAATGAATTCTGGACGAAATTGGGACGGAGAAGATCAACCATCTTGTAACGAAACGTTCGCTCATCTTGAGACTCGGTGTCTCTCGGATCGTGGAATTGGTAGAGGTCTGCAAGTTCTTAGAAACGGGGACCAAAACTAAATTATCACGAGAGGAATCGTTGATTGAATTTTACATGAAACGTGAGGGATAATAAAAATATTGTTCCATTAAGTATGTAATCATTATATTCTTGGAATTCGCCGGTGTCTTGAATCAACTGTTCGCCAGGTCTGATAACGCGTTTCTCTTCGTAATTGGATCGTTCTGTGGGAATTGATCCCAACGTTTGCTCATCAATTAATGGAACGAAATGCAACTATGCGCGAGTACTGGTCAAACAGCGTTTGCAATTACCGGAAATTATATATTCGGTGTCACAACGAGAACAACTTTCAACGACAGATGTTTACTGTCTTGATGGAAGTTCAGTAGAGAGAACTATTTTAACCATTTCACGTCGCGTTAAAAAAAATATTTAAGTAAGCAAAGTAATGGAAATAATCTAATTTCCTTGCAACACCATTTCGCTAATACTTTTCTCTCTGACAAAAAAGGATCGAAAGTGGAACGTTATTGGTGTTTTTGGAAATATTTTATAAGCGGTCGTGATCACATTTCTTTATTGCGTCCTCGTCGTGTACAGTTCGGGGGAGTGGCTGTGACAAAAGAAAGTTTAGATACTCCTAGAATGACGTATTTATGGTACACCTCGGTGGAACATAATGGAAAACTGTGATAACGTCGGATCCGCGTACTCCTTACGACCCGTAAGGTTTCTTTCATTTTCTCGCAATCTCCAGCAACATAAATTTTCTTGCAAACATCTCCCGTCGTTCAGGATAAAAAGACGATATTTCAGAGCGACCGCCATTGTAACCGTTCGAACGTGATCAAACGATCCCACCTCCGGGGGATTAAAAATTGAAATCAGAGTACATTGACTTCGACTCCTTTAAGTCCGGCGGAACTTTGCCAAGCTAAGAGTTATATCAACTTCCGTCGAAAGAACAAACACGAGGTGTGTACCTGTAATAGGAAGATAATTTCGTTTCTCGTCTTCTTCGAGACTTCTCGAACTGAAAGGTGCTGGGGCTGGACGAGACAATCCCATTTCCGCCCTCGGTTCGTTCGTCTTTCAGTCGAAGAACGTGGAAAGTATATTCCACTCTGAACGGGATCTATTATAGTAAGAGGATTCAACTATTTTCAAGCCGTTTTGAATCGAAGAACCTGATAATTTTACGAAATCTTCTTGAAAAGTTGTAATTCGTGTAAATAGATTTCCAATTTTTTCCTAATTTTGTTTCAAGCTTAATATCCAAACTGCGGACGACAATCTAGCACAGAGGCACGCTGATCCCCCGAAATTCGATTTTGTCCAATCGGGGTGGACCGTGCCGATATTTTCGACGGGCGTTAAAGCGAAATTTATGATTGTTTGAGTTCCAATGGAGATGGCTGTGACGTTCGGGGGCCATATTTCTCCGGTGCTCTATTCCCGGCGAAGTGTCGAAAGAGAATCGTGGCTGTTCGAACGTGAAATTGTCGTAGAGCGCACGCGTCGCGTCGGTCACGGACGAGGATCTAGCCAAAACACCGCGAAAAGCGTCGGTGTTCGAATTAAAACGGGCGCCTGTGCGTCGTCTATGGTAATTTGTAAACGGTGAACGCCCCTCGTCTTGTCACCTGTGTTCCTTTTCCACCATCCGACGTGACACGTGTCTCGCACGCGCCCCCAAAAAATCACACACGCGCCATTTACTACTAAACGACGCACGTCGTGCCAGCGACGCTAAGAATTCCGCTGGACACACAATAAAACTGTTCGTTACAAGAAATACCATCGTAGATATACAAAATTCTGTAAAAATTCACTGAAATAATTCTTTTTTTTTACTAATAAGCTACGAAACCTTTACTGGTACTATTAGCAGCAAAATTAAAGATCTTTGATTTGAACTTTTTATCTTTACTTTTAGTTTCGATAAATTTTTTCTTACAAGGAGAGTTCCCAGGTGATTTGAGTATAGACAGTTGGCATTAGATTAGATTTTGTGGCGACGCTTACTTCGCTGGCAACGTCGTTCCTCGTCGTTTCAGTGTAATCGTACCCTAGCGTGGTTATCCTGGCTGTCGACGATCTGATCCTGTCACCTACTCGTTTCTTGCCACGGTTGCGGGTAACGCGAGCACATGGGTCTAGAGTCGAGCTTTGTAAAACCATCTCGACGAGTTCCCTCTTCTCGCGCCTCCGTTCGCTGATTGCAGAAACCCCGGCCGCGGAGAACTCGCTTATTTTTACTAGGAATGCGCGTTCGCGAGAAAAAGGGGAGACGGGAAGAACGGACGACGGCAAACAAAACCAGAATGAAAACAGCCGGGGAGGAAGGAAGGAAGGGGTCATTGACGCGATGCTGGAAACAGGCGAATGATAAAATTAAGCCCCGCGAGACGATCCCATCGTGAAATGGCAAATACTTGTTCCACGGTTTCCACCGGACGAGACGACGCGACCGGAAGCTACCACGGATCGAGGAGGGATCTAGGGGCCAGGGGATCTGGAACAGCGAGACTCACCCTTAACGTTTCAGGAAAAGAATCAAACTTACATTTTGAAATTGCACTTATACGAGCCTTTGAAAAATTGAAACACGAATGGAAGTGCTTTTTGAACGTGCACCTAACTAGCTGTAAATTTCTAGATGCTCGATTAGATCTGTTTTACGGTCCGCCAGTGTCGACATTTTAAGCATGCTTAATATTGGAATACGCGATCTAAATAGGGCATGCTATTATTCATTTTATGCGATGGAACATTAGTTTATGTTGGACGAAGTCCAACATTACTTCGTATTTAGAATAAGTAGGAAACCAAATACTAGAAGCATAATCCAAATGAGGTCTGGCCAAAGTTTCGCAAGAAAACATAATAATACAATTATTCTTGAAGCGATATGTACGATATTTAACAAAATTTAACGTTTGGTATAATTGGTACTCTGAGATTATTACTTCCTTCAATTCCCATTGACTCAAAAAATTTTTAAATTCGATATGAAATTGGAAGTACTCTGGAGAAATTCAATCCTCTTTTGTTCTCGATCGACCACAGATTAAATTTAGCAAAATTGGATTGCAATCTACGAGATACTTCGAGGTTCGCTATACTCGTAGATATTTCCAGGTCGTCTAGGCATAAAAGAAACCTATCGTAAACGAAAACGTCGGTGATTAATTTTACGGTAATGTAATTTGCAAGTTGAAATTTAACTAAAAATTTATACCTCGCGATCAACGTTTGTTTCCCAACCGAGCTATTTTTTTTTTAGGAAATGATCCAAAAAGTAGGTTACCAGGGGTTAAAATAATTTTATTGCGCGGAACAATGAATTTCGGTGGAGTTTTATCGATGCCGTTGACGTCACGTCGCGACGCCTGAAAGTTTTCGCGAGCTTCCATGGATCAGGTTGATTATACCTACGAGAAATTATTATTCGTTTTATCGAATCGTTAGCTAGTGCGTTGCTGTAATCCTTTTATTCTCGGTTCATTTTCTACGTGCAAAGACTATCGAGACTGCTAAAAATTCACAGGAGATTGGATTTTCATATCATAATGGGACTTGAATGAGCTCGTTTCGAATTAATTATGGATTCAAATTTAAAATGCCGCGGTATTTTAAACGGATAATCAAATTATACGGTTTAATTAATTTATCACAATATGAATTTTGTTTATAAGTTTACAAATATATAATAATTCGGTTGAGCAAATAGACGGAAAATAATTGAGCCATCGAAAGTTTTAATTTCATAATTCTTAGAAAATTCTACTACTGGAAATGGGTCACGTGGCATTATCGAGAACTCGCAATCGATAGATTTTATATAGAAGCACAATTAATTTACAGAATATTTGTTCCTAAATTGAAAGTTTTAAAACAAATATATAGTTTCTAGTGGTGGTTAGTTCCAGCGCGAAGCAATCACGAAAATATTCAATTTGCAAAACACGACAAACTGAAAGCACTCCTTAACCGTTTGAAATACGTGACAATGTGTTATCCAATAATTAATGGTTAGGAAAACGTAATTATTTTTAAAAACGAAATTTACACGTGAATGATATACAATGTTCGACGTAATTCGAACTCT